AGTTGTTTGATCTGAATCAAGGCCATGCACCATTGCCACAACAAATCCAAAACCCATATTGCTAGACTGGTCATTTTTTTTATATAGACTACTTCTAATACATAACATATTGGCCAATGCACCTGTGCTTATCTACTCAAACTTTGAGCATCAAACACACATCCTTCAATGAAACCCCCAAAAATGACTGATAATCTAAAACAGCTTGTCATCCACCTGTTGTGAGTTCAGTGCCATTTACAATGAACACAATTTCCTCTTCCTCCCAGACGGATAATAGCCGTCATTCATCAGAATCCCACAAACAGAGAGTTTCATCGATGACCATCAGACTTTGGAAGTCAGAGCCACAGAGAGGGAGACTCAGTCTCTGGGACCTGTGAGCTGTGAGCTGTCAGAACATAGCAGAGAACAGGGCAGCAAACGCCCCGCGGATGGCAAAAACAAAATGAAAAAATTAAACTGAACAGAAGGAAACGGTTTATCAGCTCCCATCTATGAACAATGCTGTGAAAGCTCCATGTTTGTGCTGCTAATGACATACACAGACAGAGGGGTGGTGTGTTCCTCCAACACAACCTGCCACATCTCACAGCCCAGACAACTGCATAACACAGAGATTTACACTTATAATGAAATCCTTTGCTTGCTAGTTGCTTAGCAACAAAAGTACTGATTCATATGGCACATACGGTGTGCGCCTGACACTGCATTTCTGACACTTTGGAGGAAATCTTGGATGGAAAAAAAGGGTGAGAAGAAGAAGAAAAAAAAAAGGGGCAGGAGTTTGGAATGAATGCCAGGAGCGCAAAAAGAAGGCAGAGAGGGAGAGATAGAAAGTGAAAGGATGACCCGACTCTAACTGACTCCCACTGAGTAACACAACAGGTTGGTGGAGCTCGCAGGATTCACTTGGCAGGAATGTGAAGAAAAACACACAATCCGACTGCTCTCTTGTATTCACACATGCACGGTGTTCGCCTGCGGACTCCAAAGGAGAGGAAAAACCTTGTCCTGATCTTTCACAGATTTATTTCTGTTGCCTTTCTGTGCATCTATAAATATAACCTGGATGCAAACAGAGGGATTCTTTTTGAATATCACAACCAGAACAAACAGTCTTTGCAATTAATGGTTCATTTGTTTAGGTAACTTAAAAGCAAAATCTGCATAAATATGTGCTTCTTTTCTCTGATTTATAACAGAATAATCTGTATTTCTGTCTCATTTACCTGCATTTTTTAGACATGTTACAGTCCAAGCAATAAACAAAATAACCAAATATATATCAGCAGATTAATTAGAGACGGTAGTGATTGATGGCGGGATGTTAGTTGCAGCCCTAATTATAACCAGGTTCATCCATGGCATACAAATGTTAGACATCTCCTTTCAAAAGGTCAGCCCCACCCTGTATGCAGTCTTTTCCATTTCTCCCCTTCCTCCAGTCTATCTATGAGATGAATGCACATTAAAAAGTCAAATTGCTCCATCTTTGGCGCCTGTATCAGCTGATCCATTCTTATCCTAAAGCAAAAGAATGAAGATGAAAAATGTGTTAAATAGAGCGTGGATCAGTTTCCTTTTGCAGGACTTTAGACAGCCTCAGGCAGATGGTATCCTAACTATTGGAAAGCATTACTTTGCTCACTATTTGGGGATATTACACCATGGCATACATCACTACTCTAGACAAGCACTACAGAGACACCAAAGTGGTAAGACAATCAGCTGTGAAGCAGCAGCTGATGTGCTGGGCGTGTCCTGAGCACCAAAAAGTAGTTGATGTTGATTTTTTTATGGCTGCAGCACTGGTTTCAAGGAACAAATATTCCTCAATTTAGACTCTTAGGTGAAAGATTAAGTACAGGGAACGAGGGAAAGAGTTTTTACAAACAACATGTTAAATAAAAAATCTTTCTTTTCATCTTTAACTCTTCTCTGTCATTTCTGTTGAAGTTTCCGTCTCCAGCCATTTAAATGGCAGTAATAATCCATTCAGCATGTAGCGATGGGTACCACGGACTGGTACTTAATCAGTAATGGTACCTGACTTGATGGTAACAGAATACTGATACACTCAGTGCTGTTATTGGTTGCAAATTTTGCAACGTTTATTTCAATTAAACGTAACCAAACATAGCTGGAAAACTGGTGAAGCTGCTGGTGTTAGTCTTAAAATCAAACAGACATTGATTTAATTAAGTGTCTTTATCAATACATGCCACAGTTAGCAGCCCTTCTATTTATACCGTCAAAAATCTATAAAACTGCAAGATTAAGCAGAGCTTCAGCTACATGAAGAGGAATAATTAAAAAAGATCAATTCAAATTGTGTTTTACATTAAACTATGGCGACTACTATCAACATGAGTATTAATAGGCAGCTTCTGTTTTGGTGTACAGCACATATGGTCTAAAAGACTCTCACCCCTAACCACAGGCTGTGGACAGGCTTTGCAACCAGTTCTTCCACAAAAAGTTGCTCCAATGCAAATATTCACAAGGAGGGGAAGGATTGTCGAATAATAACAGGGCTGAAGTTTCTAGAAACACAAGTGTCTGTTGATTTATGAAACTTGTATCACCCCCCTCCCTCTCCTATCTTTATAATCTCATTGACTTCAGTTGTTTTTGGGTTGATGGAGAAACATAAAAAAAAAAGATTTCTTATAAGTAGGGCCAAAAAAAGCTAAGAGGGAGTGAGGTGAGGATATATATGTGGTTGTGTTTGTCATTTTGGATGAACCCACCCTTCACATATTCTAACACCTTACTAACAAGTTGTTTTACAGGTGTTTATGTTTATAAATAGGGGGGTGAGGGGATGGTTTCTTATTTGCCAAAATGCAAAAGGGGGGGGGGGGGTGGTGTTAATATTATAAGAAAGGCAATTAACTCAAATATTAGCACAAACTAAATGAAAAAACTATTTTTTATAACTGTTACAGAGCTAACTGATGGATAACATGAGATTGCCAGCCAACAAGTGTCAGCTGTATCAGCTTCACCTGCAACTCCAAACTAAAAGCCTGCACAAACATGGTGTGTCAGAGCAACATGTATTTGTGATGGTGCATCCCTCCAGCATAACGGCATCTCTCTGTTTCTCTATATGCAATTAAGCCGGAGGTCAATTATTCAACGTGCTCTCTGCGGACACAGATTTAATTACGAGCCTTTTTCATAAATCAAACTGGACACACTGATGTTACGCACTGGCTGTGATACAAAACCCCGCTGATGAATAAGTCATCCTCTGAGGTGTGGTTGGCTGCTATGCTTCATGAAAACGAGCGCACGTACCTTCTTCTTGGCGTTACAGTGGCAGCACACGGTCCACAGGTATTTGAGAGTTCTCCACAGCAGGATGATGAAGAGCCCCCCGAAGAAAGTGACCATGGAAGAGGCGAGGAAAGCCCACCACATCCGCTGCCCGTTACTGTCACAGGGCACATCTGGCGAGAAGGGGATGATCACGTTCATCTTGGATATGTGTATGGACGGATCCGGGTTGAATTTCTCCCGGTTTTTCGGCATTGTGCTCACCTGTCAGGCCCCCCCACCCCTCCTCCTCCTCCTCCTCCTCCTCCTCCTCAAACAAACACAAACAAACAACTCAACAGGGATTCAGACGCTTTTGGGACCTCCAACCAGCGCCCCCTGATGCCCCCGCGGCTCGGCCATGTTTGAGTCTGCCACCTCCCGCTACTCTGGCTGCACCAGCCGAGGACGTAAAAGTTGAGTCGACAGTAGACACACGCACTATGGGGAAATAAAAAAAAAAAAACTTTCACACAAATTGAAATATCAGAGGTGCGCGTCACGATGCGCGTACATGGATGGAATTGCGCGCCATCATTTGATCCGTGCGTAAAAATCACATTTCCAGAAAACTACTAAAAACTCAATATTTCCAGAACAGTCCAGACGGATCAAAGTATACGATTGATATGTTGATGTTGAAGAAATGTGTCGTCCTCGCAGACGATGGTTTCACGCGCTGCTCCACCTTGTTTAGCAGCGCAGTTTTCAGCAGCTCCGCACTGTTGAATGCTCTCCCCGCAGTTAAAGGTCGCACTTTCTCGACATCCTCCTTTGGAGAGACGTTGTTTAAAAAAAAAATAAACCAAGTATCGGTTCGTGGAGTCAGAAAACAGAGGGTTTAGTTATTGCGTCTCTCCGGGCTCCGTTGGCCGCTCGTCGCATCCATTTGTCGGGAGATGGCATCGCAGATTTACAGGTAGCGGGGGAGGAGCCATCAATGGCAACGTCGATGCCTATCTGGATGTCTGGTTATTTATAGTGACCGCTTCATCAATTTTTCACGGTTGTAACTTGTGGTTACTACCCTCTTACTTTGAAACTGTTAGTTATGTAGATGCACTTTCAGTTTTACAAACGACGACGTTCAACTTCTGAGAATAAACACTCTCCAAACATGACATAAAATACAAATGTTTTAACGATTTTTCTCCTCTCAGTTGTTTTAGTTTGTTTTTTTAATTAATACCTGACTTTTGGGGTTTTCACAAAATAAATTGTCATTTATTTTTTTCAGTAATTGATGTAAACATTTATTTTTGAAGATGTTGTGGCAAATAATGTAATTTCAGCTTTATTTGAAACAATGTGTTAAAATGATCAACTAAATATTTCATTACAGCACCACCATCAAATTCAAATCAAAATATACATTAACAAGTATGACATTTTAACATAATCTGGCTATAAATGTATTAATAAAGTTGATAAATTAAGAATATTTCTCATAATAGGCAGCTTTGATAAAGTGGTATGAAAAGAGATGAGGACATCTATACTGGTGGTTCACTCCCCCTACTGGACTGAAGGTGTATTGATCCTTAGGTCCAACTTGTGACATTTTCTCTTACCAGTTATGGAGCAGATTTGTGAATCCTTTCCCAAGAAATAAGTTTACAGAAGAATGATAAGGACCGTTGAACAACTGTATCTCAATGAAAGACAGACACATTGTATTACAATAACAGTTTTGTTTTTAATATTTTATAGAAATATTAACCTTCATTAGGAGAAAACCTGCCTCAAAGTATTTGATCCAAACTGCGACATGAAATGTTGACAACGTGATCTACAGCAGATGTGTATGTGTTTAGTTGAACCATGAACCAGAAATAAAAATATCCCTTCTTAAAAAGCCAAAAAGGAACACGTTTTGGCAAAACTGTAGAACACACAACCTGGGACAAACGAACATACCTACTGTTTGATTAGACTTTTAGTGTTAATGCATCCAATAATGGAGAGTTATAATTGGCACAATCTCGTACTGAGGGCTGAAATGAGGTCAAGATAGAACAGGAAACTACAACATTATGTGAAGAGGAAGAATATTTGTCCCAATTACTCCTCTATAAATAAGACCATTATCTGAAATATCATCCTACCTGTTAACTACAGAGCTACATTTGTATATCAAAGTTTTATAAGCAACATCTTTGATTGATTAGATAAATTAAATGGCAGGAAATATGTATAAATATAAAGAGGTGGTCCACTTTTACCATCACTTTAAAAATAAAGTCTTCATATAACGTAGATGCAGACTTCATGTGGTCCGACGTGTTCACAGGGCAGAGCGGGATTAAAGGAGTGCTACTACATACTAGGAAAACCTTCAAGTATGAAATACTAGTGTAAACAAATCTATCTGTACAGGACATCACTGTTGTAGTGGGATTAATTCATGATCCTCTTCATCAGTGCTGAATATTTCTAAATGTGAGAAAGCATTGGCGTTAACTGTGATGTCTGTTAGATGTACCGTTTCTCTGTGTTTCCCAAAATAAAAAAAATAAAAAATAAATCACATCCTCTGCGACGTTTCAGAGAGGCGTGTGATGCGAGGTGAGAGTGAGGTGAGTGAGGTGAGAGATCTCTACGCTGCTCCGTCCGGAATCCACAGAACTTTGCTCTGCTCCTGCTCCACGATGGTCATGATCTGAGTGCAAATGTAGGCGACGCTGCCACCTTGGACGACGCCTGCAACACAGAGAAGGAAGGCGGGGAGATTGACATGGAAAGGTGTTACATATCTATTGAAGTAAATAGTTTTTTTCGTATCATCTGAAATTGAATGTTTTCACTATGAAATTATCCGTCTTTAATAAGCTTTTGTTCAAGGAGTGGAGAAAGGGGAGCAGATGGCCTAGCGGTTAGGCTATAGTCCTCCAAGTGGGCGTCCCGGTTAAAACACGGTTATGATAACTCTTTACTGATATTTGGTCGAAAGTAGCCGATTTGTTGCACTGATCGATTTTTCACTAATCAAGACTGTGGAGCCTAAAGATTTAGTCGTAGACTTTGGAGATGGAAGTCCATCAGTGGTTTGATCAGCCTCATCATACAGTTAACCACCACAGTCATCCTCATTATAACATTATAACTGTTAATAACGTTTAGCTGTATAATCACAGTTTTCTTCATCCTGGCCACCTCCCCCCTTAGGAGGGATCCGCCGTGTTATGTGTTCATTTCAAGAGTCCCTCCTCATAAATCGTCTCCTTTTATAGACTCATTAATCAGCCGGACAGTCGGCTGTCTCAGGCTGGCTGCTGCTCCAGATACAAAAACTTTTAACTCTGATCTGTGACGTGTTCCAGAAACCTCAGACGACCTCCAAAGCTGGTCGAGACTCACAGTGACTATGTTAGCCTATGTTGTTGTTTTATCTGTTTATTATGACCACGTTTAGGTTCCTCCAGTGCAGACTTTTACTGCTTAGGTTATTAAAGATTTTAGTTTTTAGGCTAACAGCTGCTGAAACATACACCTCCAGCCTTATTTAATACGATGTCTATCAAATTAAGTTTGGCTTAAAAATGCCTAAAATGGTCATTCTAACATTAAACCACACTATGTTACAACCTAAAGAGGCCCTGCTTTGTTGCCTTGGATTAATATGACACACTTTCTTACATTCGCGTGGATTAACAGCTCTAAAAAAAAAACTAAAAAAAAACATATTACACGTACACTTAAAGGTGGAAAACAGCCACAGGTCGGACTCAATTCGGGCCCCCCACTTGGAGGACCAAAGCCTCCATATATGGAGCGTGCACTAACCACCAGGCTATCAGCGCCCCAGGAATATATGTCTTTTGGGGGAAATTTTGATGACCCTTATATGACTGTGGTTAAACTGGGGTTAACAAGATTTTGCATAACACTACGGTAGCACTTTGTCATATGCACATTAAGTACATTTCCTATTCGTAAATAAGCGGAGGACTGCTGACGTCTCCATCACTCCTACATCCATTCTCTCTTCAGTACATCATAGAGACAGTGTTGTTGTTTCCACCGACCTGTGAAGAAGCGGCTGTACTCCTGCTCCACTTTCTGAGCCGCCTCGTACTGCTCCTTGGAATGTTTCTGAGAGAGTTTATCCCGCAGGTACAGAGGATCCTTCTGCTCTCTGCAGAGACAACAACGGCACATTTTAGCAGCCTTTCGAAGAATCAACCTCTAAACACGCAGGCTCATAACACGGCACAACATCACGACGTAGAAGGAGTCAGGGTGTGTGATGATAGGTCCTTCAGACCGAGGTTTGAGATTACACCGAAAGCTCACTCGTCATTTGTATCAATTCCCAGTTGTTGTACTGTATCAGAACAAGCTTAAGAAGTCTAAGTAAAACTTTTATTTACAATTTTTATTTACTTATTTTGACCTGACCTGATCACATCATGTGTTCTTCAATTACTTCAAAAGTTGAATCAAATCTTCCATTAACAGCTTATACATCATGAAATATTGCATTTCTTAAGATTTTAAGTATGGAAAGAACACTTAAGAATGGGAAGTTCTGTTTTTGGTGAATCCCCCTAAAAGATATGTGACTTCTTCCTGTAGACCCATACAGACATGTTGCTCATTATACTGTCACAATGACCTCAACAAACTAAGACAACCACAAACCCTGTATCAAAGGAACACTTTCAGTCAGTTGATAAGAATCTGTTATTGTTTCCGACATCTAGTCTCCAGCCGGATGGTTCGCTCCATATCTGCCTGAGACTTTAGAGAAAGTCATGTGACCACTTTTAGTCTTCCTCCACTGGGAGCCTCTGACCTCACTGCGTGCTCTCCCTGGCACTCAGTGTTCAGTCAACATGTTGGTCTGCTGAAACCTTCCCGCAGGATCAAAACCATGAAAAAACCCCGAGCTGCAGCAGGCGGGCAGTGGGAGGTGCGTTTTTTTGTTAGTGTGTGTGTGTGTGTGTGGCTGCTGCGGCGGGTGGGGTCAGCGAGTGTTTTAGCCGCCCACGCCACAAAGCGGAGCCACAGTGAGCTCTCCTTGGACAGCTGGCACTCAGCTGATGACAGACGAGGCTTAGCAGGATTCAATCTCCGCCATGTTTTCCTGCTGCACCAATCCATAGATTTATGGGCGTGTGTGTGTGTGTGTGTGTGTGTGTGTGTGTGTGTGTGTGTGTGTGTGTGTGTGTGTGTGCCGAGAAAGCCCGTTCCTGCCAGACCTGAGTGTGTCTTTATTTGTGTGCGTGTGCGCACAAGTACCACACTGAGAGTTCAGCTCATTTAATCTTGCGGCGAGATTACGAATGGAAAAGCAGAGGGACCTTTGAAATATGACATCATCCCATCACAAACCAGAGCAGGTGGTGGAAGAGAGCGGGCGGCTGTCTGTGAACTAATCACACCGTGATCTAATCAAAAAGATCAATTAGTTTGCTATGTGTGCGTGCGTTGAATTAATATGATTATGAAAGCAGAAAGACTTCTGCACATGTCGGTTTCCTGAGCGAGCGTCTCCATGGAAAGGAAATTAAATATGAGTGATTCATGTGTATTATTAATGGGAGGAGGATTGGTACCAACAAAGATGAACTTTCCCTTTCATGTGCAACTTGATGGGTGATATACGCATTCCTCACACCATGTCCAATCATGTTTCATATCATTTGTAATCATAATATTATATGATATATATCTCATTAGCACAGCCTATACAGCTGAAAATGTAAAGTGCATTACTGTTTGAACGTAAACAAACTTCTATTGTTGCTTTATTGTGCACTGATTCTTTGCAGTCAACTCTAACACCCTTTATATTTGACGTTTAATATTTGAAGCTCTGTTGTTTGACTTTTAATGTACTGTAATTTTAAAACAATCAGGGACTAGAATAGCACTAGAGGGCTTTTTCAAATAAACATCTTCAAAACTCAATAATGCTCCAGATTTGTAGCTCACAGCCCCACCTTCCTCTGTTTTTCTTCTTCTGCAGTTATTTTAATTATTTATCATGTGCCCTCCCTTTCCTCCTTTTATATTATTTCCCTGTGGGTTAGGTGGGAGTCATTTGTTTTGGGCGGAGTAATGATCTTATACCCATCTCTTTCATTAATGATATCTTAAATATATTTGATTTCCCACTCTGTTATAGTATCTGCTTCTACCTGTAGATTGTATTTCAGTGTAAAATCAAACATGTTGTTTAAAAGCTGATTGCTGCTAGTTGAAGTTTACAGCGAGTTAAGCTAAATTATATGACGTTTATTTATTAGATCTGTGGAGGAGCTGGAGCGGCCAGTGACTGACAGAGTGGCTCTGTTTCATTGTGTGTTTGTCAGAATAAAAGATGGCCAACAAGAAAGAGAACGCTGAGGGCTTGTGTGCATTAAATATTATTTTTACAAATAAAAATGACTTCTCTAAAATCTCATTTTGTACACTTCATATTCTCATAAAAAGAGCCTCTTGAATAGTCACCATGACCTGTTGTGACCTTGTTTGTATGACATGAAGGTTTCATTGTATTTGTTGATGTTGATTTTTCTCCAGTAAACAGACCTTTATGAGTACCCTACAGAGCCACACTTCTGGCTTGTGTTGGGTGGATTTTTATGATTTTGAGACCATGCGCTATCAGCTGTTGGGAGCATCTGTGACACGCCTGAAGGGATTCAGAAGTATTTGATTTTATTTGTGCTTAAAACCACATTTTAGGGAGCGTCAATAGCCTCGCGGTTGTGTCGTGCGCCCCTTGTACCGAGGCTGTCGTCCTCGTCGCAGCTGCTGTCGGTTGAAGCTGACCTTGGCCACTTGCTGCATGTCATCCCCTACTCTCTCCTTCCAACGTTTCCTGTCTCTCTTCAGCTGTTCTATCTAATAAAGGCAAAAAGGCCCCCCAGAAAAAAACTATTTTCTAATATCACTGTTTTTCTAGAAGCAATGTGCTGCTCTGAAGTATTACATTTGATATTTACAGATAACTTTGGTCCATAACTTCTGTATGATGACATTTTTAAACCCTATATTCTCATAAACATCCTCCAGAACTAGAAACATTGGATGACTGATTTTCTCATCAGCTGATGATGAAGCATCTCAGCCTGAACTGGAGTTATAACAGAAGATGCACCCGGACACAAAGCACACTCAACACTCACTACAGGTTTTCAGGCAAAACAAACAAAAGTAACTCTTTTAAAAAAGAGGCATGGGATTACTCACTTTATCTGCTTGGCGTTTTTGTAGCGAATGAAGATGACGATTGGGTAGATGTGAACGCTGTGGAGACGTTCGATGGCATGAGGGGCAATGTCAAGTAAACAGTGACTGTCCTACGAGAGAAAATGAGACATGGACAATGGATCAAAGCAGAATGTTGCAAAAAGGCAAGCTCAACCACTGATTACTTTCTCACAACGACTCTTGAAACATAAAACATTTAACAATCAAGGGAGCTCAGGCCTGTAAGACCTTCAAGCAAGATCACACAGAAGTTTGAAATCTAACGATCAAAAACAAGTTAATTAGTGCCCCAAATGGTTTTCTTTTTTTTATCCTATGGGCAGATCAACCATGATATATCATATAATTTGCAATAATAAATCAGAGGCATTGCATAACATTAAAGAACTCTTTAGACAACTATTTTTCAGAGTGCAGTTTTTGAAATAAGAGGCGTCTTTTTAATGTTTTTCTGAAGACAAACTATATTTTTTGAGTGCTGCTGATACATCTCCCAAAGATCCAGAAGTTTTAAGAACTATTAGTAGAAGAAAACTGATGACACTGATTAAAAGGTGAGCCTTCTGGGATGGGATAAACAAAGAACTATACTGTTAGTTACTTACACTGAATACTCAGAATCATTTGATTTGACCTCAACAATAAATACGATTTGAAAAGTTCATCCCCGGCCTATCGCCAGATTATCTAGGAATTTGAAATTCTTTAAGAACAGATGATTCAGTAGCTGCATATAAAGCAAAAGCAAAGCTATTCTCCATTAAGTGTGATTTTTTTTTACAGAAAAGGCAATGCGTCGAGTCTATCTGATCCTGTCCTTGAATCCAGATGAATTTCGCTTCTTTTTGAAGTACCGACACAGACTTGGACCTGATATATGTAAGAAAGAAGTGTCATCAACAGTAAGAGGATTTTACCTTCTCTGTGATCTCTTTGATTGATGCAACCGTCGTCACGTCAAAATGGCCGCTCCTGCGTTTGTAGTCGATGAACACGCAGTCCTTCACTCCGCGCTCTATAGCCTGCTGAGATGCCTTCATGATCTCTGGAAGTTATAAAGAAAATCGTTTCAGTCATTTTTATGTTTCCTCCAACTGTCCCTTAAATGTCACGATTGAGTGTTTTATGTTCTAACATGCTGCAACCCGTCTCTTCAAAACGACATCAGTAATACAAACCTGAAGGACACGTGCAATACAAACGCTTAATGTTGGTGTGTGTGTGTGTGTGTGTGTGTGTGTGTGTGTGTGTGTGTGTGTGTGTGTGTGTGTGTGTGTGTGAGCTCACCAGGCAGACAGCGGCAGAACTTGTCAGGAGCCTCCTTCACCAGCATGTCCTTACTGGCCTCCACTAACGGACCCAGAACCAGCACTGGTCTGGGGGACGAGCACTCCACCCTCTGAACCCGCTGGTACATCAGACTCACTCCGTCTGAGCAGAAAATAGAAAAGATACAGACTCATTCTCAAATCTACAAGACCGCATAGAGATACTGCTGCTCTTTAATAACCACAGTTATGAGTTTAGGCGTCCTGGGAAAAGTTCCGTGGAGCCAGCGGGCTTTTTATAGCACAGCTCTACTTTCATACAGCGCGTTATACCTGGGAGCTGCCAGACTACCATTCATATGAAGGTAAACCTTTATGCAGTACATTTGCATTCAGGAGCTGTATTTCTGAAATAGAGTTCAATGAGTTTACACTGGGACACAGAGGTAGGAGAGAGTTTATGTAATTATTGTAGTGATAGAATAAAGAACATGATTTTAGCCCTGGATCTGTTTTTAGCTTCACATTTTTACCCCAGGGACAAACATGTAGATTTCTATATTACATTTGTTGTTGTTGTCTTTTTTTTTTTGTTTTGTTTTTTTAACTACAAACAATCCAGAATAATATTAAATAGTAAACTTTTAGAATCAATAGTCAATCAATAAATAAATAACTAACCTGAGGAAGCTACAGGAAAAACGCTTAGCTTGCGCACAATAAAATTACAGTAAAGTCATTTTCAGTGTGCCACAGGTTATACAGGTTTACTTTTCATTGTTTTTTTTCTGCAACTTGGCGGTACCTGAGAATATAGGTCAGCTGTACACTGGGTACTCTGTTGGCCATTTTAAGGTTCTATTTTTTGGCGGGTTTATCCTTTATTAGATAGGACAGCTGAAGAGAGACAGGAAGTGTTTTGATTAGAAAGTAGGGGACGACACGAGGTCGAGCACCACCGCCTCCATACACGGGGTGCGAGTCATAACTGCTAGGCTATCGGCGCACCCCGAATATGATGGAAGTAGAGCAGCTTGCATTTAGAAATGGTTAACCTTCAATCTTCTAACAAGTTTTTGGTTGTTAATTCACCCTTGGCCGACTGATTTATTTGTGACGCCCTGAACCTGCAACGCATAAATAAAAGTTGACTGGTTGAGAAACTCCTGCGTCAGTAGATGACGTCTCACCCTCTGTGATGGGTAAGGAATCCGTGCTGATGGCATCCAGAGCCATCAGGTCCTTCCCGTCTTTAGAGCCGTTTCGCTTGTGCTTCAACCTTCGTCGGAAGAAAGACCTGCGTGCAGCTGCCGACAGAGTCTTACCGGTGCCGTTGTCGTCTTTTATATCGGCAGAGCTGTGTCGCCTGTAGAACTCCTGATCCATCCTGGAGGAGATACACGAGCACATTAACACAAAAAACTGATATGCATGATCTACATGTCATAAAAAGGAAAGTTGACTAACAGCTGGACTCACATATATTTACTTGGAATCTGCCCTTTCCCCAGTTTCTGTGCATTCTCGTCCAGTTGCCAGGCCATCCAGAAGCCGAAGTTGCCGTTTGGTAGCGTATCTTCTACATACAGAATGTCGTCTTTGTTAAAGCCCAGCTCCTGCTCTACCTCCGCCACACGCTCATAAAGTGCTCTGAGGGGAAAAAGATGAACAATAAGGCCGTCCTGAAGAACGCTCTGACCTCTGAACAAATTCATAACCGATCCAAGGACAACTTCACAGACGCTCTAAAGGCTTTAATAATAGAGTGTTTAATACAGCAACAGAATCTGAACTTGCAGAGGTCCTCAGTTTGGATTGTGAGATCGAGTAAAGTACCTTATGTAAAATCCATCGCCGTGCGTGTCTTTGATGGCAGGGAGGCTGTTGACGCAGTTCTGGACCTTGAAGGTGATTGTTTCGGCAGGTTTCAACATTTCCAGGTAAGCCTCTTCTTTAGATTTGTTCTTCATGCTGACACCATTGTACTGTTTGCAAGAAGACACAAATCAGTTACACAAATGACACTGAGCTCAGCTGCAAACAAAGAATGACTCATCGTTTTCAGTAAAGAGAGCTGAACAACGCAGAAATAAACGCCAGTTATATACACACATGAAGAAACCTGGACTTAAATGGAGCTTTGAGCAATATCAACAAAAGACTGTGAGGTTTCATAATTTGAGAGGTGTGACGTAAAATTCTGGCTCTTGTAATTTGTCAGCACCAACTACCTAAGTCGTGTTTTTTTGCGCACATACAATTATACTTATATATTAAGTAACAGGTGCAGGTACCTCCAGTATCATGTCTCCAGGTATGAGGCCATCAGGATCCTTAGCGGGGCTGTCCTCATCCAGACTCTCCACAAAGATGCCGTGCAGGTTTCCTCCACAGATCTGAACCCCCAGCTCCGCCTGGATCCTCTTCAGCCTCACCAGGCGATGCTCTGCGGCGCGATGTGAACCTGAACCTGGAAGTCTGGAGAAAAAAAAATAAAACTTACAGTTAACTTTGGCGATATACGGATTCCTCCAACTAAACTGCACCAAATGCCCCGCAGAAGATTTACCAATACCATACCAATATGTCGCCTTCCCAAGACATCAAACTGGACAAATGCTACTCTACACTCAAACAAAATAATCGACGATGAGAGACATTTGCACCTGAAGGAGTTGTGAGGGCTGGTGGCGGGAGTCGTCTGTTTGGACGGCGGCGTCATGGTTCCCTCGTCCTGCTCGCTCAGAGTATCCGCGTGATTGTCCGGGGTCGTGGCTCCACTGCCATGGAAAATCGGATGGTTGCTGATGGACTCCATACGAGAACTATTGACAGTAAAAACAAAGTCAGAATCTTTTCTAAATGACTAAAAGATTTAAGCTATTGAGAAAGAGTGTGGGGAAATAATGTCTTTTTTTTGTTTTAGCTACGTTCCTTTGTTTAGGAAACATTCTTTCAAATGAGATATTTATATATATAAGATATTTTATGTTCGCCTTGTCCTCCATACGATGTTTTCATAGTTGTGAGTCATGTGGAGAAAAAAAAGACAAAAGAGTTCTTGAAATTGGGACACAAATGATAAAAGCCCTAAGTGGACATGCCTCCATACTTTTTGTTTACTTCATATCCAGTGATAAAGTGTTAAGTTCAGCAGTTTTCTTGAGATCTTCATCTTATTATCTCAGGATAACAAAAACTGTTTTCACATTAGAGTTGATCCAGTTATTTCGAGGAAAGACTTGATTCATTGATGGATTCTACTGTAGAAGCAGCTCAATGTGTGCAGCACGGGGGTAAAAAAAAGACACATTTCCCAAGAGGACAATCAAGTGTATCGTGTTAACGAGATCATTGTCTAAATTCTAGAAAACAAAACAACAGGCTGGTCACTATTGTTAAGTGATATATCCTTTAGTGGTGATGGGGTAAGGGGGCGCACTAGTGTGGTGAGAGTTGAAGTGTTCGAGTGAAAGTGTGTTTTGTGCACAGCAACTATGACAGACCAGAACTCGACATGCCATCCTGCCTTTGCCCACACTAATGAGGTAATATAAGCCTATTTCTACAATGTTACAATGCATTTAACAGACGTACATCAGAGAGTAAGTACAACACTAATCCATTCATACACCGGGAGCAATGCAGGGTTAAGTGTCTTGCCCAAGGACACATCAGACACGTTGCTCAGCTCGACCCTCGACCTTCTGGTTGAGAGGCGACGACACTACCAACTGAGCCACAGCCGCTATGTCTGTTTTGTGCTTTTACAACTCTGAGGATATGATATAAATAATTTGGAATCAACAGCCAAAAATGACTCTTCATGACAGGAAAACGGGATAAATAAAATGGATGCATATCTGCTTAGGGCTTCCATATTGCATACATTGGTGCTGTTTCCAAAATGTATTCTAGATTTGGTGTTTGTTATTCTATACCAGTTACCTATCCGAAGCATTGGGTCACATCTGTTTGACTAGCTCTTTGTTTGCTTGCTGTGTAAGGTTTTTATGTACAAACTGTGTATAAAGAATCAATCCATTACTTTCCTCACTGTTTACAAAAACACTGGTGCTGTGTGGACAGGCTTGAAAGAACAGAATGGTTTGTTTGATAGTCCAAAATGCTGTGTTATTCATCATGATTCTGTTGTTCCTTCCTTTTTTTTTTCTCCTTACCCTGATCGTGAGTGGTTTCCCAGCTGGAACATGTGAGGATTGTACTGAGCCAGAATAGTGACTGTATCACACTGCTGCCCAATCACCAGCCGGGCCTGCTGCTCGTTGGCATTGCGTAGGTTGATTCCGTTAAACTGGAAACGGGTGAGTCATTAAAAAACAAAACAAAACCATGAAACACGAGACAGATATTAAGATGAAGTGTGTTAGCAGCTCTACCTCGAGGAGCTGGTCTCCGTACTCTAAACGAGCTTGGTGAGCGATGCTGCCCGCCGTCACTTTGGACACAAACACTCCCCCGTTCTCACCGCTCACAATGGAGATCCCCAGAGGTTCTGCTCCTTTCTGGACGGTCACATTGCGTGGCTCCTCCAAGTACGGCCTTCGGGGGGGGGGGGGGGGGGGGGAGAAAAAAAAAAGAGGAACATTTGTACAACTGTGGAGAAAACCTGAAGACTGCTGGAAGGTTTCAACATGCAACTCTTGAGGACATCCAACTTCAGTTGTGTCGGGATGTTTCTGCCCGGTGGTACTCTCTGTGCGGTGATTCTCTGGGAAGATTTCTTTTAAATAGAAAAGCCTGGCGTGTCTTTGTGATGTGAAAAGATCTCAAAAATAGATGTGGGATGTGTGTTAGATGTGCGAAGTGCATTTGGGATTTGCATTCAGTCAGTCATGCAAGCATTCAAAATTAAACATCACTCTAAATAAATAACAAGCACAGAAAGGATGGTGGCTTAAAGGGACATGCATCCATCATTTTTCACATGTGATCACTGATATTAGTGATTGTTGATTTTATATATTTGCATTGTCTTGTTTGTATCTTTTGGGTGTCATTTACAGATTCCTATTATGTTTTCTTTAGGTGCTTAAGAATGTTTGTATTCCTGTGTAAAAGTCAATAAAGTACACTCAATCTGATTAACAGTACCTACACTGCACATATGCTGCACAGGGCTAGAAGCATCTCTTTCTACTGTGTGGATCTTAAGATACATGCTCTAACCGACTTGCAGATTGTGATGACTGCACATGCTTCAAGCAGCACAGGACAAACCTCAGGCATCTTAAAGAGAGGAACTGTGGCTTTACTGCCAGTGGAAGTCTGACAGAAGAAGAGTTATAAGAGACACATCTGAGAAGAAGAAATGAAGGAAAGGAAGAGAGAAAATGATCACCAGATGTATGAGAGAAAGATTCCGGTTAAAATGCACAGCAGCAGAAAGAAAGTGATGGGAATGATATGATAGATGGGGACTCTGTGCTCTAATGATATGAGATGGAGCCGCACAGCTTTGTTTACTGCTTTGCAGACACTTAATCACAATGAATCAGACAGAAGTACAGACGAATGGTGGAAAACATGTCGTGTTCTGCTGAATGATGACTGCGTAATGACCCGAACGCGGAGCAAGGCCTACCCATCCTTCCGCCTGTCGCCAACTGGAGCGGGGCTGACTGATATCCTGGGCTGGGTGGAGATGGAGCTCTGCGATTGGCTGCTGGTGAAAGATGATGTCTCCAGGTTGATGGGGGACATTGGAGGCGTCGGGCTACTACACTCTGAATGTGAGAGGGACCCTGAAGGGCCAAGAGGGGAAAGGTATGAATCCAGACTTTGTGTTTTGCTGCTGTAACGCTTGTTATGTGACAGTGTGGCTGCCAAACGGAGCTGTACCTCTGTCAGATCCAGTGGAGCGAGGATAACGAGCTGGAGGGATCTTAATGCGCTCTGCACGAAACTGTAATGTACTGGAAGATCCTAAAAACAAAACAAAAAAACAGAGGATATCTATATAACTGCGCTTAAAACTAAAATACTGAATATAAGGTAGACAGATACTTACATTAATTAGATAAAGGACCACTCTTTTTAAAAGGATGAATGACCAGGCTTTGTAAATGCAACAAAGGATTAGTCTGTCAAGACTTTAAAAACTAATGGACATGAAGTTTCTGCAAATCCATCCAGTCTCTGTCTTCTGAGCTGATTCAGACACAGTTTGATGAATCTCCTCAGAGATTATTTTGATCGATGAAAGTCAAAACATTCATCCAATATTAGCTTTTTTCTGTGTGGTATTATATACAATGATAGACTTGTGCTTGGATATAAAGTTTCATAATCAAATCGACTGTGCAATCTCTATCAGCTTTATCAACAACAGTCTCCACTGATTTAGTATTGTGCCGTCACATGTTTGGTAAATAGTTTATTTTTATGCAGCAGAGCCACAAATATTCTCTCATTTGCTCCATGAATTATTCTTCCTTGTCAAAACCCAGTGCGTATGTTTCCCACAATGCAGAGCTGCTGACCTCAGGCAGAGAAGATGTCTGGTAGGTTTTTTTTTTTTTTTTAACAACCATACCCGCCCCCCTCTTTTTTAAACTTGAAAAGTTCAGCACTTTTGACAATGACTCCAGTCACTTGTGGCAAGAATCAGACTTCTCCCTGCTTCGCCTGAAGCCACAAAGACTTTGCAGAATTCTTCCACATGCAGCAGTACTAAAAGTATGTGAAAGGCAAGTTAGAGAATAAGCTGTAATTTGGAGTAACTGAATTAACTGAAGCTTTTAGAGGAGTCACACAGGAGTCAACAGCCTCTTATACCTCAAATAGCTTACTAGATAAGTTTAGATGAGACTTAAACTGGGACTCCATACGTACCCAGTCTGGCACTAGAGGGCAGAGAGTTGGTGCTGTGTGGTGGTTGGCTGCAGCTCGTCTCAGCTGAGTCTCCAGTGCGCTTGTGGCTTAGGTCCAGACTGTGGCGACCTTGATGCTGGGGGCTAAAAGTGGAGAAAAAGGCCTCAGTGAGTCCCCGAGATGTCAATTATTCAACCCAGAGCAAGATATAATTTGATACATGCCATCTGTTCATGAGATCCAGGGCGGCATAAACATTGCTTTGAAGAGTTGACGCTTCATCACAGAGTTCATTAAATGGATGTTAAATAGATAAACTCAGCACTAGTGGTGCAACTGAGGACTTATTTAGTAACAATTAGTGGAAAAGGGAGCATTGTATATTTATATACCACAAAAAAAGCTAAAAGCAAGATCGGGTATCATGAGCATGAAGCTGCCACTAACCCAAAAAAATGAAGTTTTTCATTTTGCAGCAACATTATTAAAAAAGGGAAATCACTGCAGTGAAAATGACCTTTTAGTTTGAAAAAATGGAGAGTTAAAAAAAAAAGAAAAGTCAGATGTTCACACCTTGCGTGTGCTTGCTGGTGGACCCCTGAGCCGGGAGCTGGAGGGCAGTTGTTGTTGTTCTGGATCTCGTGGCTCCAGGCGGTGTAGACGGGTTCCTCATCACAGCCGTCACAGCCGGACACGGGGCTAGACCTCGCTGTGCTGGGTCTGAAGAAACACACAGAGTTTAATTATTGATCACGTCAGACTAAACACAACTACAGTGAAAAGAAATTCAAGCGCAGGAATTTTTTTCTCTGGCTCAGTTTTGCCTTCATTCCAACTGAAGAACAAACAACAAATTCAAGCACGCATGTCCTCGTTATGATGGCCAGCCGACTCCTGAGGATAACATCTGGTCCAACTTTGACTGAGCAGACACGTCAAGTCAACCATGAGGAAAAACTCCTTTACCTTCTTGAGAAATTGAAAAGTTTTCTTTTGTGCATTTGAAACTACATTTATGACAAAATAAAGCTGCCAAAGCACTCTTACACATTAAACAGTCTACGTTCACCACTGATTGATATTTAATAGTTAAGATATCAATTTTAAAAAACTATTTCCTGCATCAGAAATGTGACATCACATCCTTTTTGGAGCCGAGTGAGAGGAAGATTTACGGAGATTATGAACGGGGATTAAAGGAGACCAAAAAATCCTCCTAATAAATTACAACATCTGCATTATACTTGAGACATATTTAGTAAAGACACTCTTTTTACATCGTATGATAGACAACAATCAGAAAGAAGTTACAGTTTTTCTGATGACTCACGTCCTGCGATGCTGTTGTAGCTGGGAGGTGCAAAGTTCATGCTGTACCGATTAGTTCTCAAAGGAGAGAAGCGTAACAAGTCCATTGGCTCTGGGGAGTGCTCATCGTTTGAGAAACTCTGAACCTGAAAGAGGTAAAAAAAAAAAAAAAAACACTTAGAACACTGACAAAAACACAAACATCGAGAAGAGAGCCAGATCTGATAAGAACAGGGTCTCAGTTACCTGCATTGGAACAGGGATGTGTAACGGAGTCACATTTCGCCGCAGTGCTGGAGCAGATTTCGGCCGGTACCTCCTCTTCGGCGGCTCCCCTGCTCTGTGTCGACCCCCCTCCACCTCGGCGGGTTTCTTAGCGCCACTCTTAGTCTCTCCTGGAGGAGCATGGGTGAAATAAAACTGGTTCCCGGCCTCTCCTTCCACCTGTGGGATCTTAGCTTGAGCCGGTGAGGCCGGAGGAGTGCCGGTGGTGATGGTGGAATCAGACGCTGAGCTGTTCTGCTGCCGGTGTTTGAACCTGAAAGAGTCGCTCCTGGTCGGCGGGGTGGGAGGAGTCTGGGCACATTCCGATACTGAACTCTGCGGCGAGTGTTTTGGCATCTGAGACAGAGACATGTAGTCTAGTTTTGGGGGCACCTCGGGTCTCCTGAAGGCGGTCACATCAAAGATGGATTTCCTCTGTTTGACTTTTTGTAGATGGAGAGCTGTGCGCACTCTGGATTCGACGCTCCTGCTAAGACTTTAGGCCACGTGCCTCCGCTTGGCTTCACCGGGGGGCTATGCACGTGCTCCACAGGGGCCTGAGGAGAGCTGCAGTTGGAGAACACCGGGGTGAAGGTAAAGGGGCGATGGTGGAGCTCCTGCCGCATGTAGCAGAAGTCTGGGTGGGGCTCGGAGGGGCTGTGTGAGGAGAGAGAGCGGGAGTGTAGAGAGCTGTTGGAAAAAGGCTTGTTGTGGCAGTGAGCGCTGCCGCCGCTGCTTTCCAGGGGTTTCCCATGTCTTTACATGCCTCTTCCCCCCTGTCGCCCAAGTCACAGCTGCAGGTCTCCGTTTGTGTCGAGCAGTTGTGCTTGGAGCAGTTGTGCTTGGAGTTCCTGCAGTTCCTAGAGTGCATCTCACAGGATTGGAGACGAGAGATCTTTTCAGAGTCCCTCAAACTTTCGACCAAACTCTGGCCAGAGCAGCTCTGTGGCAGGAACTGCAGAGGAAGGAAAGTAAAAACAATTATTATTTTTCATCAGGAATTGAAAGCACAAAAGGAGAGAAGCTTCATCACTATATGCCTTTCCGAGTCTATTTTATTGCTCCTGGTTCTAGATGAGTGGATTATTTATGTGCGGGTCTATGTACTTTACCTTCATGAGGGAGACGCTCAGAGAATCCTGGCAGTTCCTCAGCAGAGACTCACATTCAGAGAGCGACTTGTTATCGAGGGCAATTCCATTGATCTGTAGTGGACAAAAACACAAGATGTGGCAAAGTCTCCCACACAGAACTTTCCTCCAAGAGAATAATAATAAGAAAAAATGATAAATGATAAAAGTTCATAAGGTAATATTGGTGATTATGGTTTTAAATTTTAAAAAAATATTCTCAAAGAAGGCAGCATGCAGTATGACCGGTGTAGTGTATGAACACTGAAATCAATATACACAGGATGAAGTTAAAAAAAGTACACTAACTACTGAAGTTGTGTAACTTCCATAAAGTAATTTTTGTAGTATTAAAATATCAGGTATTTTTTTTAAACTCCTGTTTTACTTGATTTAACACATGTGTTCCTGTGGTCAGTAGAGGGCAGTAGAGGCAAACATCTTTGTCCTATCACTTTCTCCTTAAAAGGGAAACATATTATGTTTATTTAAAAATAACCACTATGAAAAGAATCTTTATTTATCCAGCACATTTCTAGCACATGAAGCAATTCAGTAAGCAAACAAGACAACTCTAAGGGGAGAAATTAATACAAATGTACAAACAGGACTGCTAATAAAATCAAGTGAAAAATGAAAAAGCTCTCAGATGAAGGTGTGTTGGAACTTAAAATAACTTTATTTGCATCGTACTCACAGCTAACAGTCTGTCCCCCACAGTGAGAGCACAGTCTCTGGCAGCTGGACTTCCTGGAGCCAAAGAGGCAACAAACACTCCACCTTCCAGCCCGATGCCACAGTCTGAGAGGAAAGATCAGAAATCATAAAACATAAAATCCAGATATTTACAAGAATAGAAACAGTGCATTCATAATGTTTGTAGTAACATTACATCTTTAACTATGTGAAAATTCTGTCTGTTAACGTCAGTGTATCAACCATTAAGTTGACCTTTGTGTCCGCTCAGGTTTATCTGGATGGGAGTGATGACTCGTCCTCCCAGTGACTTCCTCCTGCGGACCACCATGTTGATCACTCCCTCGCCGCTCAGAACCGCTTTGATCACCTGCTTCCTGTCCTTATTGGTCAGGTCCACGTCATTTATTTTCAACAACCAATCGTTAACCCTGCAGAGGGAAGACAGGTGAAGGACTGGATATTTCATCTTGATACCTTTAGGTACCAACAGATATGTGTCTGATGCGTTAGGGATTGAATACTGTGAAGACATAAATGGCATCTTAATTCTTTTAATCCAATACTCCCATATGGAGATCGGCAGACTTTATACAGTTTATACAATGCTGTTTAGTTAGACTCAACATTTCCTTAAGGCCCCTGAGAGAAGATTTGAGCAGGTTTTGAAACCAAATGAAATAAATACTGATGCAAGAGCTTTAGGGCGAAGATATCTTATTTCTGTATAGTTATAATTTATGTCTGAATGTGCTGTCAAGGGGTTAGTTGTCAGACAATATCATTCCCAGCAGCCTAAATTTGTATTTCCCCATTGTGGGATAAATAAAGGATTATCTTCTCTCATCTTATCTTAAAGAAAAAACATTTTAATGTAAAAATACAGAAGAATGAGTTTTTTTTGGTCTATGCTTGAACACAACAAGATCTGCAGAAAGATACGACAACCTTTCTTTGTCCAGAGGCGGCAACAAAATCAACACAAACTAAAAGTTAGTCGCAGAGGCTTTAAGAAAACAGCTCAAACATTATTTTAAATTCAGACAATATTGAAATGTGATGTTTTTTCAACACTGATATATATTCTGTCCTTATAAAATGTCCTTTATTGATGAAGGTGGAAAAAGAGTGATAAACATACCTTAACCTTCCCTCAGCAATACTTCCTTTATCCACCTTACTGACAAATATGCCACAATCTCCTGGTAAATAAGGATCATTTACCCCTTCAGCGATATCAAACCCAAGTGCTTTCAAGTCCATGTCCTGAAATCACACATTTTTGTTCCATTCAAATCTGAACTTGAACTTTCTTTCAAACATTTATTTTAAATAAGAATCTAAGTGGTTCTTACTCTGTGCGTTTCAATTTCCACAACTTCCGTCTCCCACTCCATTGAGTCCGTGTCGATGGCTGAATCATGAGAGCTGTGGGCCATCAGCTGACGAAACCTGGCCTCTTTTTCTAACTGGTCCTCCATCTTCTCTCTGCAGGAAATAAAAACAAAAGAAAAGTGTGGCTCTAAAAAAAAGTACAGACACTTTTAGAAGTGATCTGAATCTTTGCTCAGTCAGTGACTACAACCCTCCACTAGGTGGCACCAAAGCTCTGGTATGACATCAACATTCTTGGTTCAAATATAGAAACAACTCAACAAGACAAAACTCCCAAGTTTAGAATCTGAAAAAATGTCTATGTCTAAGCAAGAGAGAAAAAGTTTGGAGGAATGACTCACTTTAGTTCTTTAAGTTCCCGCACAGCGTCGTTCTTCTGCTTCCTCATGTCATCCAGATTCCTCAGGGCGTCTGCCAGATCACTCACAGCTCTGTCCCTCTCTCGCCTCAGGTTGTCACATAACGTGCTGTCAGATGCACACAAGATGTAAACAAACTGTTCTCGCCCCAGTATTTCTGCAGTTACATGCAGTCATTTGTAAATGTAGCATATTTCCACATAACAAGCATCCTCACCGTATGCTCTCCCGCTCTGCCACTATCTTGTCCCTCTCCTGGAAGGCCCAGTCCCGGCGACACTTGGCCACCTCTGCCTCCTGCAGGGCCTCCTTCAGCTCCTGAGAGATGGCCTCGTACTGCTTCCTCAGCATGTCGATCTCTTTGTTGGCTCGCTCCATGTCCAGAGTGGCCGAGTCTTGTTTCTGGGAAAAGTCAGGGGATGAAGGTCGATATACGAGTTCACAAAACATGTGAGCAGCAAAGTTCTTGAAATCTTTCCAAGAACTTTGCATGATATGGTAAATTAACCGTTTTTTTGCCTCCTGCAACCATTTTTCCCCCCCCAACACATTGATGGACACTTGAGTCAGGCTTCATCCTAAAATGCACAAGCCTTGGAACCTGATCTGTGTCGCTGCATTTGGTTATGAATTAAACATTAACTAATTATGACTGGCTGTATGTTGGAAAGTGTGGATTACACTGAGAACCAACACATTTTGAACTTAGTCAAACTTAAAATCAAAGCATATAAAAGAAAACCCAAAATGTTCACTGTCATTCACTTCAGGCAAGCCTTCCCTTTTATTTCAATAACTAAACCATTTGATGAATTGAATATATTTTTCTTTATCATGTCTTTCTTTACCAAAACCATTTCACAGGCCCAGACACATAGCATTGCACCCTTTCCCATTTAGCCTCACAATATTATACATTATGTTCATTAGTTACATTACGTGTGTATCCATGACTTTGATAATTGATCCTGGCTTCTCTTTTGATGCAACAAAGTGATGCATTATCTGGCAACTTCTTACATTTTCCCCATCAGATACATGCAGACACATTCCTGGTAAATAACTTACCATGAAGGCCGTGATGCATCTCTTAACTTTGAAATCATTTTACATGTAAACTCTGCACAGACTAAAATCGTGTTTTGTGTAAACACTGCAGTGTTTTGACATGTTTAACCCTTTACATTTCAATTCAAACTAAAGGCATGAAATAATGAAAATGAAAAGTCAAAGGAAGTCACCTTAAGATGAAATGTTCGATCGTGTTCAACCACAAAAATCCAAACTAAACTGCTTGAGACTTCTGCCCGTCGTGTTTCTGTAAAGGTCGCTTTAGGCAGAACAGTCATAGATTGGATTAGGTTATGTGGTTTGAAGTGGGTCAGATATAGTATAATGAGAGTACATCTCGCAGAGAGCACATGTTCTCTGTCTCTTTGGATCAAAATTACTGCGAGGAGACGTCTGTGTAGTGGGAGCGTTAATTAAACCACAGCTGCATTTATTCCATTAGACTTCACTGTGCTCTTGTTTGGCTTAATTGTTCTTCCTGCTGCAGCTTTTTTTGTGCACTCCAAAGTCAGCAAGCTTTTTTTTTTTTTTTGTTGCTGTAATTTACTAATGCAGGTATCTCAGTACTTTCATTGCAATCAACCTGACCATCACAATCGTGTGATGGACCACATAAACGTTTCAGAACAAAATCAATATGTGGAACCCCACGCCCCCTCCCCCCAGAAAAAAAAAACACATTTACTACTACTATAAGAGAAGGGATGAAAGGATTATTGTCAGAGGAATAAATCAATCCCTCCACTTGTAATGATAAATCTCCTGTCTGTCTGGCTACCTGTCTGGCCTGGTAATACTCTCGCAGCAGCTGGTCCCGCTGGATGATGGCCTCCGTCCTCTCCGTGCGGGCCACGTCCCTCTCCTCGCGTACCGTCTCGATGTCCTTGCAGGCCTGGCTCAGCTCCTTCTTCGCTTCGGCCTTGTCCTTCACCTCGTGGCAGTATTTCTCCAGCAGCTCGTTCTTCTCGCAGATGGCTCGATCTCTGTCCACAAGCGCCGAGGCCAGCTCCTTTAAAACAAAGTGGATGGTATAGACGTGTTCAAAATAAGAAGATGCTCACCATTTTAGTGTCACCAGTCTTTATTTTTAACTAATTTTAATGAGCATTTCAACATTTTTTAAACCTACTTAGTCTCACATTGGGATTGCAAAAAATATAAATAATTTTCTCCCATTTTGAAGATACCTGTGAAGTAACTTTATTTTATGAATAGGGAAATTGTATTTTTCAAGCACTATTTTTTTAATCACATAGCAGCTCATTTGTGTTGTTTCTTTTGAGTTTATTTATTCACCTCGAACTGAACTAAAATGTTCCATTTTATCCAGCTGAACTATGTTTTGACATTTCCAAATGATACGAAAGCAGCAAAAACCAACTCAGGTTGATATATTTTGAGCAAAGATATCATTTTACACACCACAGGACAACATTAACCTTGTTCATTTTATGTTATTAGGCAGAAATGTGTGACTTTTTACAAATATGATTCAACAAGTCCAAAATGTTATGATCCTGAGATTATTAGACATTATTTCTTTACTTGTAACCATTAACAAGTATTAGATTTTGTTATTTCTGTGTTCTCTTGTTGTGTTAGATGTGCAGTTCAATATGGCTGATTAACAACTTTAAGGGAAATGATTGTTTTTAAAGTTGGTTATGTTAAAATACACAATAAAAACTAAAAATACCAAAAGATCAAATGTTCGAGCTTACTGCTCCTCAGTACGGGTAGAACAGTTCTTCTTACCTGTCTGAGAGCCTCCAGCTCCTCGTTGGCCACCTGTCTCTCTGAGAGGTGTTCTTCAGCTTTGCCTCTGCGACCTCGAGCCCCGTCTGCAGCCGGTCCACCTCTTTGATCACCTGGTCCCGCTCGCTCATGATGAGGCGGTACTCGTTGATCACAGAGTCCCGCTCCTCCTTGTATTTCTCAGAGTCTTTTACCGCCTTGAGCTGCTGCGTCTTCAGCCGCGTCGCCTCCGACTGCAGCCGCTCCATCTCTCGCTGCAGCTCCTTGTTCTGGGACGCGGCCTTGGACAGCTCCTGCTGCGTGTTGTCAAACCTGAATATAATGGTTACGACTGTGCTTATTAAACTGCTCCGCTTTGTAGATGAAGAACATAAAAACAAACAAACAATAAAAACACAGACATGCAAGTGACTAAAATTGCAATCTCAGCATTATAGAAGAAAAGTTAAATTTGGAAAGCATCTGCATGTCTGCAAAGCTTCATCTGCTTTGGATTAAGTCTGATTTAAGCACTGTGCAGACCTGACCTTGGCATTAAAATCAACCGAGGTTTGTATGACTTTTGACAGCTGCTGAGTCTGCCTGTGCAGCCTCTGGTGTGTCTGTGATGTCTCCAGCTCTACCTTCTTATGGACGAGGAGTACTGCTGCTGATAGTGGATGGCGGCGTCTCTCTGCTTCAGCAGCATGTCCAGCTGTTTCTGCAGACGGTGGTTCTCCTCCTCGGCCTGGTCGAGACGACTCAGGTCTGCGTTGTGACCGGCCGTATTCTCATTGTAGCGCTTCCTCAGGACCTCGTAGTCGCTCTTCATGGCCTCCAGCTTGTCCACGGCCGAGTCGTACAGCTTGTTGAGGACGTCAGGCGAGCCCTCTCTCATCACCTGGAAGTGACAGCGTTCAGGTGCTTTAGTGAACCAGAGGAGAACAAAGGGACTGCTCATTTCATCTATTTGCGGTGTGTTCAAGTAACGCCAATAAGCAATCAGCCAAATAAATGGACGGATAAAATATTGTTTTTTTCTGTTTTAAAGAAGTGCCTCTCTGTTCATTTTTTATAATGTTTGTTAATACACAACGCTGACAGTATGTCCACACCTGGCTTTTCTGGTGCAGTTCCATCAAACTCTTTGATATTTTCCGGTTTGTTTCGGTTCATTTATTGACTTTTGGGAGTCGTCTTTTGAACTGCACTGAGATCAGATGAAAGTGGAGGCGTTGGCCTGCTTTTAATAAGACTCAGGTGTGGTTCGTTTGTGTTGTGAATATAAAACTGACATGTAGGACCACAGTAAAAGTAATAAACAGCGGCTATTAGCTTGAATGCATAAGCTACATAACTTTTGAAAAACCCTTTTTTTTTTGATTACAGGAACTGTTGAGAAGTGACCATCGTCTATCTGGTCAGAAAACACAAACATGACGAAAACAAACAAACAAAAGCAACCAGTAAGAAATCCTGACGGTCTTCAGCTCCAGTTACAGTCACGTCAGCTCATGTGTGCAAATCTTTGTACGGTACATTAAGCCTATTGCATACATTTATAATATTGCATCGTTAAGTTTGTTGTATAACACCATATAAATAAACAGAGGGAACATCTTTTGCCACTCTTAAGACTCGACAGACAAATCTGAAATGACAACACACTCATCCCCAAAAAGATGTTACACGACGAGACTTTTTTGTTTGTTTTGTAATATTTCTTAAAACTGCAATAAATAAAATCCACCATATTAGCTTCTTAAACTCTTTACTTTTGTCTGGTTCAAACCTCGGAAGTAGACCTACCACTAACCCAGATCAATACACATTTTTCCAGATGAAGTTATACTTACATACTATCATTCAGTATGTACTCTCTCTTGCATCAAGTATACAATCCATGTTGACTCGGACTGACATCACCAACCTCATTTGTTTACTAATTTGAATGATGCTGAACACGTGCTTTGTTTTATGACAACATGAGCTCTGAGGACAAGAAGTATTTACTTTTCCCATCAAAGAGACATGTCAGTCCTCCCCCGCTGTTGTGTCGTAAAAATGTAATGATCCGACCTTCTGACTGCATGTCAGAGAGAGAGACCGTACGAGCAACAGGTTAGGTCATTTGCAGAAATGTTTTGATCCATGAAGACTCAGGAAAACGAGCTCGCCCATTTCTCTGAATGATGTTATCGTGGAAAATAATGGTCAGGAAAAGAGAGACACATTGAATTTATGTCTCAAATATCAACTTCCACATGATAGGATCGCCAAAGAAACCTGATATTTAGGAATAAATATATATTCTACTCTGAATATGGTTAAGCATGATTTACAGTGGGGTTTCCAGCACCACGGGTACCTGTTGATGCAGCATCCTCATGTCAGCCAACTCCCTCTGGTCATCCTCATGCAGCCTCCTCAGCTCCTCGCAGGCCTGCTTCACATGGTTGTGCTCTCTGACCAGCTGGATGTTGTCCTGTCGCACCGCCTCCAGCTCCTCTTTCAGCTGAGCCTGCTCACTCACCAGACGGCTTTGCAGCGTGCTGAAGAGAGGGAAAACAAGGAAAGTGGGATCAGCGGAGCCAGCATGAGAGAGCAGCGCTGTGTGTGTGTGTGTTCATGTTAGACTGTGTGTGTGTGTGTGGAGCTCTCACTGTGCCGTGCTCCCTCGCGCTTCTGCAAATCTGCAATGCAATGTGAATTCATAGACCGGGACACTAACATTGCACCGATGCAAAATCAATATGAATGTCTTCAGGTTTGATAACAGTGTAGATTTGTTTCTGTTGTGGAGTTTCACTACGAAAAGGGCTTTATTCTTATTTTCATGTCTTAATGCCACTTCAAAGATGCTCATTAGCGTTATGCTAATATTTTCAGTAAAGAAAGCCTGTTATGTAACACTGTCTAACTGCTAACATAACAAACATGAATGAGAGTGAGGACAAATAAAATCCTCTGTGATCAGTGACAGTTAATGTGAGCTTACGTGATAAGTGACTTATTGATTTGAGCACAATGTAATTTTCTATTCAGGATGCCGTTTGGTGTGAGTGGCTAAGTGAAGAGGCAGACGGGGCCATAATAAACTAAAGACTTTCTCTGTGGTGCAAACAGAGTGCAGAAGAAGAGGCTTAAACATGGCAGTAATCCGTCCTCTGTCTGTTTGCATTGGAGCCAGATGTCGGTCCCCTACACTTGGAGACAGTATGGCATCATTAAATCACACAAATGGACCGGCCATGGGACAACAAATGCCCTGTTAGTAGCTTTATCCTCATGGCACAGATGCCGTGCCATACACACAGGGTTCACGTGATGATGATGATGATTACAGAGCATGCTTTGGCATGAAGTCCACAGGGGTATTACTTTAAGAGAAGTAATTCAGGCTCTGCTCTTAACCTTCAGTGTGAAGAGACGGCTCAGGATTTATGCTGCTAAGACGACAATAAATAAAAAAACTTTTGGAAAGAATGAAATTAAATTGATAAAGGATTTTTTTCAGGGCTTAGCTCGCCAGCTTCTGGGACAGCTATAAAAGATTTCATCCCTTTAACTCTGACAAAAATAAAATCTGTTCTATGCAATCTGCTGTGAATATGTCAGAGGAGGATCTGAAAAGCAGCTCAAACCCTGCAGGCTGAGTGCAAATGCAGAGCAGAAATATGCTGGCTGTTAAAAAATTTACAAAAAAAAAAAAAACAGCCCCGTAGTGGGCTTTACCACTCACTGGTAGAAGTCGGCTTTCTTCACAGCCTCCTCGCACCTCTTCAGGGTGGTGCTGTGCTGGTTCTGCAGGGACTGCAGGTCCGCCATCGCCTTCATGCACTGCAGCTTCAGACGCTCGTAGTCATGGCCCGCTTTTAAGCTTGGTCTGTTCAGCAGAGAGGAAAGAAGGGGGCGAATAAACTTGGGATGCATGGACATTTAGTTTTAAGGCGCCACATGGGATGATGAGAGAAACAAGATCATCTAAAACTGTGTGCTTTTGGGAACACAACAGAAGAGCAGCATCATTAAATTTGCATGCTCGCCCGTTGTTTTACAGAGTAGAGACATTTTAAAAACCATTTCATGTCACGAAAGACTCACGCAAGCTCACTTGTTTTACTTTTTTCATTGCTTTTAGCAGCTGAACAAGGCAAAAAATAACTGCAGTGTAAGTGTACAAGGCATCACCGCACCTTTCTGTAAATGTTTGTTTTGGTAAAGAAAAACAAAAAAAAAAGACGAGTCAAGAGCATAAGATCCGAACAGTACCTGCAGTCATCGAAGGTGGTTCCGGGTGAGGAGAGAGCAAGGCGTTTACGGAGCTCGTCCCGCTCGCGGGTCACGTGCCGCAGCTGGAACAGGACCGTCTCCATCTTCTCGTTCACCTGGTGGCTGTCCATATGAGCGGGCGGAGGGGAGGAGGCTTGACCGGGCGTACCTGTGAGAGTCAGCATGTCACTGATGGCATGGGCTGCTTCACAGCTGCTGTGTGTTTGTTTGGCAACGCCAAATTGAAATGCTTCCACAGAACTCAACTACTTTTTCTTGACTGAAAACTTGCAGAAGTGTCAGACTAAACACAGTTGGTCTACATACCGACTAATCATAAGAGATCTTTGTTACAGCTTCTGGTTAAAAAAAAAATGTACACATTTATTTACTGTTTTTTGATGAGAAATCACTTTGACTATTCTCTTGTATTCGTTTTGGTCATTGACCACTATTTCAAAACCTAATGTAAATCTGTTTAATAATTTGCCACGTTAACTACCAGAGTCATTGTTCTTATTCACTTGAGTACCTGTGAATGTAATATTGAAAAATCCCCTGATGTAACTTAATGTCTTGTTTACCGCTCAGTGGCATGGACCAAATCCTCTCTCCCTCAGAGACTGCATTAGACAGGTCTGGTTATGAATGTGTGTGTGTGTGTGTGTGTGTGTGTGGGGGGGGTTAGCAAGTTTCTAAATCCTTCTCACATCTGTGTAATCACTTGCATGTGCTCAGACTCTGAACAAGCTGCCACCAACGACTGACTCTTAATTGGCTCTGCAGAGTGTGCTAAAAAGTTGATTACTTCGAACATATTTGTTGTTGTTTTTTCCAGGTATAAATAGATTTTTTGTTGTTGACATTCCTACACCTGAGCACCACCATGAGCACCACACTCACCTAAGCTGCTGAGGGAGCTGCTGCTCTCCGAGTCGGACGGCATGGTCGACAAGATGCTGTAAGTGGATCCTGTGAAGGGGAACAAAAACATGAAAGTCAGCTGTGAGTGTACTCGACCATGTCTGCATTATAGTAAGATGATTATCTTCAGTATTGTGTGCTACATCAAGGCTCAGTGGCTCAGGTTACATGCTTGGTGCTTTTCTGCAAAAAAAAAAAAAAAAAAAGAAAGAAAAAAAGCCAGCTGGATGAAGAATAAGGTGGGACTTTCCCTGACTCTGCTGTGGGCTGACGGCACAGTGTGGCTAATTATCAGTCGGACAGGGAGCTTGAATAGTGACCAGCCAGGGCCCCAATGAGGCTGCAGCCTCAGAGCTTCTCCTTTCATCTCCTTTGACAACATCACACAGCCCCCTGTGAAAGCCCCTTCTTTTATAGCCTACAGTGATTCATAATTAACTGTAAGGGGGAAAAAAAGAGAAAGTCAGTGCAATACTGTTAACTCCAGGTAAAACTAAATAATTCAGAAAAATATTCTGAAGGCCTAAAATGATCAAAAAAACTGTGATTATTGGCACCTTTCCTATCATTCTTATGGCACCAGTAATTTGGTCAACATTATAAACTGGTTAAGTCCAAAGTTAGGAGTTTGAAATGGCTGTTATTACCAAAGTCAGATTCAATTGGGCTAGAGGGAAGTTAGCTTCTTGCAGAGTTGTCGCCGTACAATCTACAATATGTCAGAGGTCACTAAAAGATGGTGCAGGCATCAATATATCCATTGTTTTACTTTTAGAAAAGGAAATTATTACGGGATTTATTAAAGTCGGTATTGGCCTTTAATATTCTTCGTCAATTCGGCAAGGATTTAAAATACACATAGCGGCAAAAATATCAGAAAAATAAAATAAATTGCCAGAGGTTTTTGGCAAAAATGTTTCCATGCTACTAAAAAAAGGACAACAAATGTAGAGTGCCATTACTAAGGTTGTCACAAAACTGAGACACCGATGGCAGGGGCAAGAGTTTGCTTGCAATTTCCGTGAATTAAAAAATGGCGCAATATTTTGTAACTGTTACACAATAATTGGTACCTGGGACTTCTATTTGGTTGCCGTTGAATCAAACAGTATTGGTACTGTTCGATTTTTACTAGTTTCATATATAAGTTGAAAATACTGGTATTGTGACAAGTCTAACCTGTACCTTTTTTTTTTTTCTTCAAGCATTTAAGGAAAAAAAAGGGATTATGACGTATATAAAATGTTAAACATGCTGCACCAGTCTTTATCAAACAGCTAGCAGTGCACATTTACTGAGATCTAACTTGTCCTTGGAATGAGCAGCTTATAGTTCAGTTAAATCAGCAAACGTTCAGCCCGGATGTAAAGTCGACACTCGACTCAGAGCGGGAGCATGACAAACGAGTCTATTTACTTACGTCTCAGTCCTCAACATCAATCCCTGGCTGGCTGAGCTCCCACTAACTAAAAGGAGACTATGAGTTTGATTAAGACTGGAAGGAACCCAGCTAACATGGCTCACCCTGCTTTTTCCCAGAGAAGGGCTGAAAGAAGAAAAAAAGAAAAAAAAAGAAAGACTGATGTGCCTCAGGAACCGTGGCATCCCATGGATCAAGCTCTCTTTGTTCCCGCTCTAGCTTAAGTTTCCCATGACTCTGTTTGAGCAGAGAGTGTCTCAGTGGGCAAGGTTCACTGTGTCATGGCTCGCTCACGTCTCTGCTCCGTGGAAGTCATGTGACCTGAGGCTGGCTGCCGGTCTGACACTAAACACCTGAATATCTCATTTAGGTTGATCTCTTTGCATAAAATCACAGCATTTGGTGCACTCTGGAAGCATTTTGTAGTTAGTAGTAGAGATGAAAAAAAACAGGAGAACCACCACAGAGCGATATCAACAACTAAATAAATCACATCGGGTACTCTGCTGCTGCACTGGTTATCAATAAGTAGCACTGTGAAAACTCTGCCCTGTCAATAAAAATGAGCCACTCAGATGTGACAGCTTGACAGCCAGTTCAGTACATTAGGTGTAAAAGCTGGAACACTTTTCATGGTCTACATGTCCCACAACGATTCATTGATTTAATTATTGATCCCACAGCTCCATCATTTTCATGCATTTTCTTCAGACATTTTTGGCACATTCAAGCAAAACTACACAAGAATCTAGCGCATGATATTTGGAACTTGATGTTTCTATGGATTCAAGTTTCGGTAAGCCTTAACTGCTGATATAGGATATTGTTTGAAAACTGACTCAAATAGCTGGACAGACTGTGAAAGAAAAGGTCAGATCCCATTTTCTTATGCAATATACAAAATATGATGACATAAGATAATTATTGTTTCATGAAATAGCTCGGCAAAACCTGAAATATTGGCGTGGACAGATGTGAAGAAAAAAAAACGGAATGGCTGTTTCAGTTTGATGTGTTTAAGCTGGCTAATTTTGTCTCAAAGTGTGCAAAAGAAGACAAGATAGTAGAGGTGGGTGGGGGGGTAAATCGATACAGTATCGCAATCTTTTGTGTGGCTGGCAAGTATCGATGTTTTTATCAAAAAGTAGCAAATGTGCTTTTTTTATTTTTTTTATTGCTGAAGCGGTTGCACAATTCATTTTGAACAAGCTCACTTTTTATAAATGACTGCGTTAGTCCAGTCGTCCAAACGTGTTTGTGTCCAGTTAGGTTCAATAAAACAGAAATACTACGTTCAGACTGTGAGGTGCATGCAGCCTTTTACAGGGTTTTACTTGGATCACAGTGTTGGTCAGTCTCTGGGCTTGACTCCCATTGGATAGAAATAAAAAGACTGAAGTGAGATGACTAGACTGAGATTTTTTTTTCTTATTTGACAAAGCAGTTCTTGATTTCATTTCATTTTGTAGCCATAATGTGCAGTTAAAAAGGTGAAATCACAATATCATATCGTGGGGCCTCTGGTGATTCCCACCCCTACAACGACTACAACGACCCCTACTACTGTTTAATGAGTGTTTACTTTGCTTTCTTTTTCTGTTCTATGAATAGACCTACTATCCTCTGATCCTGGAACATCCAAATTCACGGTGTCATGTAAGCCCATGCACGCTGGGCATGTAATTGTATGTATGAGACAATAGTGAAATAAAGACTTCAAATAAACTACAGTACAGTCGTTAACGTTGCAGAAACATATTATTCCTGTGTGACACACATCACTTTATATAAAGCCTTGGAGTAAGAGAACTCAATAGCTGTTGGATTCTACATTCAAGTGTACACAATGTGTACAACATTGTTTTTTTCTGTTACTACAACATTGTAGTAACAGAAAAAATGGTGGATACCCTTAATTAACACTCCCCTTTTAATAGGGAGAAGATGAAGAATAGAAGGTGAGCTGAGAGAACCAGCAGTTCACTCTCCTGCTAGGTAACCTCTCTTTATTTACAGCCACACATCACAGCAAAGTGAATACGTCAACTGTGATACACACCCTTTTAATGAGCTGTCGTCATGCTATTGTTCTTCAGTAAAAGGTGAGACAAAGGGCGCTTTCTGTCAAGCCCTGCAGCTACAGTTCTATGAAAGTATAGAATAATCCAAAAAAATAAAAACATAAACACTGAGATACAAACCTTTTTAGCTACTGTATCGTATTCATGACAGTGAAACTCTTGCAGCCAAGTGTTCGGTTCAATAGCCTACATTTAGTGTCTGTGTTGTTGACATTTGATTTCAGAGCTCCTGCTGGGCTTCGCTAATGAAGCTCACACTCGTTAACCTTGTTTTGATTTCAAAGATGATCCAGCTCTCCCTCCCTCTGGGTTTTTTTTTTTTTTTTTTTTTTCGGTGTCTGGGGAGCAGCTTCATCATGCTGCTGACAGTGCATATTGTTTATAAACACAAGCGACTTCTTTTTCTTGGGAAAGGCCCTTCTCTTGGTGGCGCAGTGGAGGAACCTGTCCGCCCGGTCGCAAAAAAAAAAAAAAAAAAATCAGCTCAGCCCATTTGAGTCCTGTGTGACTACCAACAGGGAGCTGCAGACTACGGCGAAGTCATTCACAATCAGTCTAACAGCAGCAGATATCCAGTAGTTATCAATTTTAGTCTATGTGCACAGTTGTTTCATGTGGCATGAAATGAAAAGGTTTAAAAAAAAAAAAAGACAGTGTGCAGCTTAATTTCTTTTATAAATAATGAGAACAGAATAAATAAATAATTAACACCTCACTATTCAACTCACTTGACTATCACACGAGATCTAGGAGTTTACAAAGTAACTAGCAATGCAAATATTGCTTTTGAAATGCAAAAGGTGCTGAACAATCACTATGAACCAGTGAGCAAGCATTTTCTTTGGCTGCTTCCTTTGCATACTGCATACGAATGACAGCTTTTGTGCTCAACTGTAACAGCACCTATTTTCGGGACAGAAACCACCAACTCTCTGACTTTGCTGAATTTGAAGGAGAAAAAGCAAGAAAGAACGAAATTCATTTCTGTGGCTTTATGGATTTAACAGTGAGGAAGAGAAAGATACTGAAGAGAAGATCAGATACATCTAAAGTGAATCAGACAGGAGGTTGGCAGACTGTGTGTGTCGTCTTATCAGCGGATAAAACTACAAGATGGGCTTGTTCTCATGTGGGGAAACAAAATCGAAGAGATTACATGAGGATGGGGGGGGAAATGTCAAATTTGTTGTATGTCAGGGTCACCGAGTCATTTTTTTTCTGCTCAAACAAAGCAATGCAATGATGAGTGACACTTTGTAAACTATTGGACCTTCTTGTGTTATAAGTACAGTAAGAATTCTGATTCATGTAAATTGAACTGTAGATTTTGCCTCAAATGTTTTTATAATTAATTCAGAAACAGGCTCTACTTGATACAAACACCATTTGTTTTAAAACTACACAAGCGTCTTAATTTTCACATGGAGAAACGTAACAGTGGAGGAGACACTATCAAAAAATGAATGTCGCTATTTGTGCAGGTGTCGACATCATTTCAGCTTCACTAGTCTCGTATCAAAGTTTAAACTTCTGCAATCGTCATGACAACCCCAATGCTATGGTGTGGAATTTGTTTCACTGTTGTGTTACACAAATTTGACATTATTTCTCTATTTAATGACAACACGTGTCGCTGATAAAAAAAAAAATGTCAACATTTGGATATTGAGGCGTTCTCTTTTTCTTGGGAAATTAATATTTCATGATTTTGGTGTTCTCTCAGGACAAACAGGAGCTGACACATTAGAGGTTCAATAGCCTACATATTAATACATGGCTTTAAAAAAAAAAAAAAAAAAAAGATAGGCTAGCCTATAACATATTTATGATTAAGTCAGTCAAGACATTTCCTATTCCAGCTGCTCGATTATAAAGGAATGTGACTGCAAATGTGTGATTGTTCTTACTGCTTCATTTATCAAATCAAGTTAACTTCGGTTTTGCACCAAGCCATTGATGACACATGGCTCCCTGCAGGATCGTTGTAAAGTAGAAGTCACTGCACAACTTTTGATTCTTCACGCATTCATTTTGACTTTCGACAGTGGTTTATTGATTGAAACACTCTCACCCTTCCCCTGCTATCACTACATTGATTGTCTGGATCTTTTTTGGGTCCATTAAATGCTTTCACAAAGAGCTGGCAGGCTGTGCTTTTTAGTGACATGGCAGAGGAAACAAGCACAGTAGTGTGAGTGTAAATAAGCATCAGGTCACATGATCGTGAAGCCCTCTCTCTCTCTCTCTCTCTCTCTGTGTATTCTTGCCCAAAGGAAAAGTCAGCATGCCCTTCATCAAGTTGTCATATGGTCAATACCTCTAATGTAAGTTAGATAATTCGGGATCGAACTCTGGATCAGAACCAAAACAAAGGCATTAGTCATAAAGCACTGTAGGCAACATCAGTTTAATGATGCTATAGTGGTTGCACAGTTCTCTATACCTTGCCTATTTGTTAAGATCAAATAAAAACAAGTTGCAAACTCTAGTTTTGCGTCTGCTTACCGGTCGTGTGATCCACCGGTCCGATGCCGTTCAGCAGCACAGAGTGCAGGTGAGGGTGAGTCTTCTCCAGAGCCGAACAAAACTCTGCGAAATGGTCTCTGTCCTTGCTCATCAGTAGCTTCAGAAGGAGGTCCACTTTCTCCGAGTTCGAGGAGCAGTTGTGTCCCAGCTCAAAGCGCTCGGACTGGCTCAGGGTCCCACAGTGAGCCAAAACATCCACAAGTCGGTCCGCATCTGTTATCGACTCCACCAAGTTCTGGGAACATTTCTCTAACAACTCTTTATGCTTGGGCTCCATCTCTTCTCCTTCTCCTTCTCCTTCTTCTTCTTCTTCACCCCCTCCCTCCCTCCTCTCTCACGTCGCTCTAAAACCAGCCTTGGGACGAATCCAGCTTCTTTAATCTTTCTGGTAGTCACTTCCTACAACTGTGGCGACTCCCCGAAACTATCCTGCTCGACCCAGTTGGGACGGTTTTCGACCCGAATCGAAGGATACACTAGAAGTAGCCATATTTGTTGCCCAAGGCTGTTGACTGCACGAAGATGACAACACATTTTCCCAGCCACCGCTCCGTGCTTCCCGACATACACAAAAAAAAAAAAAAAAACACGTCCCTGCCTCTTTAAGTTTCGCTCTGCGCACGTTACGAAGGCTTTGTGGATCCCGAAATCAAGTTTTTTTCGACATGTTCAAAAAGTGTTACAAACTCCCAGAGAGCCTCCTTCTGTCAGACTACAAACTCCGCCATGTCTCACCGCTCGAGCAGCTGTAGCTCTGTGCCAATCATGTATCCGCGCAATGGACATTTAAGGTAAAAGGAGGCGGGGCTTTGTTTTTGTACATGCACCTGGTTCCCATAGCGCCACTGAAGTATCCCATCAGTGCAACACTTTATTTATCTCAGTTCAGACTAGACCAAATGAAACAATAACGAAACAAGGGAAGTGCTGCAGCCTAGTATCAACTCTGTGTTTGTGGCCAAGTGCTGTGTGGATATTAAGCTGCAACAGCACGGCCCATAGTGCGATATTGCTTTCATGCAGTAGGCTACTGGTAGTTTTTTTTTTATGTCTATAATTGAGCCTACTCATTTAACTCACTGGATCCACAAATATAGGCTTTTTTTTTTTTTTTACTTGTCTGGAACTGAAATGTAGCAAAGTATCACATGAACACTTTTCATGTCTACATGTTTCAGTTCATACATGTGTGTATCTTTGTGGTGCAACATTCCCTATGAAAAAGTCAACAACGGTTTCTTTAACCTTCATTTAGAGAAGGCCTATAGGCATGTTTAGTAGCCTACCCTTGATACATAGGCTGTTGATTAAAGTCTCAGAGCTGTTCTGATTTATATTACAGACATGGAATGTCTCTTGTCCAATGTAGTTACTTGCTCAGTACAACTTCATTGTACATGTGTCTGCTAATTGCATGGCATATTGTTCCCACGTCTAAATTAAATGAGCGAGGTTTGTATAACATTTGTAAAACATGCAATGTCAATAAAGATCTATCTATCTTACCTATCTATCTAGTCTAAAAGGGACCCTTACCCAGTTGCAACACATACAGTGAATACAGAAAAACATAGCCAGTTGAGAGATAATCTTTTTGTGTAGTCTAAAAGTCTAAAATGTATCACATTTAAATTTAAACATGTTATTTTTCAGCTTACCTTGGGGACGTAAAAAATGTAAATTAAAAATGTGCAAGGTCTCATAGATTGTATCATACTGTAGGAAATGGTGGTTTCCAACAATTAGGTCAGGATTCTAGTCGTCAAAACGCAGATACACAAAATAATACTGACGCTTCTCTGTTCCTTCCCTTTAAAATACTTGATTGAAGCCTTATGAGAGGCAACAATCGGAAAACATGCTGCCGTAGGGGACTAAAAGTTAAAAAATCGGCTTCCAAGTCAATATACCTTGAGGCTTTTGAAAAACTTTGTTTGCAAACATCACTTTATAATGTTTGTTCCTCTTTATTTGCAGCAGGACATTCCTAATACAGAAAATGTACTTACAGTTTGTTTATTGGTTGTGACTCATTACATATTTCAGCTCAGTATAAGGAAGTGAATGTATATGGCACTTATTGTATCATGTTACATGTTGAAGTTTGTTTCATTAGGCCATCCCATGGTGGAGAAATAGAACTAACCATTTTATTACTGTAACAGTTTTAAAACTACAGCATTGTTTATTATTAATATTGATTTGGGGCTTTGCTTCCCGAAGCTTTGTTTGTTCACTGAATCCATGCTTGATACCGCACATGTATTATGTGCTTCCTCAGGCTTGAGTTTCATTTGTAGGTAAATCCAGTGTTGAAGCTTTATTTCATGATTCGACCTCAGGATCATATAGCTGCCTGTTCCTCATCTGAATTGTCCTGTGACACATCTGCCACAGATGCTCTCAGAGCTTTCTTCTGCTCCACATAATCCATGAGATCTCAGAGGAGGTAGACGTCATATAAGGTTGATATCCTTAAGAAACAAATACTGCAATGACATCCTATATAAAGACTGCCTATATGTGATTATCTGTATAGCCTCAATAATAAAGCTGAACTGCAGAGATGCTGGATTAAGAAATCTCCTTGGAGCTCATTTGTGATAATTGCTGACAGTGCTGTGTATTATTCAGAGGCGTCTCTGCGTGTGTGTTGCCTGGCTTTAAAGCTTAAAAAGTACACATTGTGCCTTTACATTCCTACACTTAAGTTTAGCACAGATTTAACAATGTCAGTGGTTATATAACAACTCAACTCTTTATTTTTTTTTCGTGCAGGAAAAAGGTGGAATGTTTTGAAATTATGTAAATTCCCGACTCAATCACACCACTTATTTGTGAGGCTCCTAAACTCTTCAAACTTTAAACTCCCGCAGTTGTTCTGCAGTGAATACATTATGTGAAAGCCATTTGTAGTGTTGTAGTCTGTTGGAGCCTGCTCACTCAGACTGCAAACACAAATCAAAGAGGACGCTCGGATGGGTTTTATATTCATATTTTATCAAATATGCAAGGATGAACCTGCATCCCTCTGCAGCTCTACACAGCTGGATAATGATATCTGCTGCAACATCTCATTATGTGTTGTCTATCTAATCCTCGGGGTTTGTAATTTGCTTATATGCACTCATGAAGTTTAAAGCGGGATTATGTTTCTGGCAACCAAATGTCACTTAACTGCAGAATCCTCATTGGACAGCTGGAGAAAATCCACCGCAAATCAACAATTTGGTCGATACTTATACTTATAGTGATTGCCTGTAAAATGTAACGTTAGAGGCACATGATAGAGATATGAATAGAGGTAAACTGTGGATTAATCTCTACAGACTCACAGAATGTCATTTTTCATCCAGACTTTAGTAGACTAAGGGTTGGTTTTCAATTGTGTAAATAAAAATAATTTTACACCTGAAGTTTCCTTTAAACCTCCTAATAAAACATGAGTTATTTGGCATCCATGTATAAATAGAAACCCATATAACAGTTATTTGATCCTATTCTTTGGTTGGACCAAATATAAAGTATTTGGGGGAACATTTTCTTGCTTTAAATACCAAAATTCTGATCAAAATCTTTTAAAAATGTAGTTAAAAGGAGCGGCTCAAACAGTGTGCAAATGTGAGTATATATCAACAATGATGGTGCAAAAGCACTCTTATGCTCGCGTGTCTACAAATTCCAATAAAACATTGCATTGCTTCATGTGTGTGCATCATAGTGTGATCACGTCCCAGACAAGAGTGCCGCATCCTTCCATCACATGAATAATTGAAGCACCTTTTCTAGAAATCAGAATCAGGGGAAGTGTTCTGTTTTGTCTCTAAAAGTAAAAGCCAAATGGAAGCCCCTCCTGATTTTTTTTTTTCTTTTGACCTATATACCAGGAGGTATCACAGCAAACGGTCTCGACTGGAGAGAAAATACACAAATACCAACATAAAATATTCATCCTTTTTTTGTTCTCCGGCTACTGGGAGCTTTTTATTTTGAGTGTGTAGTGAAAAGGTGAAGAAGAAGCGAGGCTCTCTGAAGTCATTTGTCTCCCTCTGAGGCTGCACTTTGAGGCCAGCCAAAGACTTTAGGACACACGTGTCTCCAGTATGGACAGTATTTATAGCCTGAGAAAAGCTCTCTGTGCCGTATCAAACCTGGGCATTTTTCTCCCCCTCTCACATTATTCAGCAAAGCACACACACACACAGACAGACATCACTTATGTAAGCCACATTATTCTCACCTTTTAACAGAACGTGCAGCCTGTGATGCTCAGAGTATACAGGGGGAGGGGGGGGGGTTTGACTCAGTCGTAATCCAGACCAAGGTAGTGAAAATGAGGCTGCCTTTGAAATGCAAATTGCTCATTGTGTGCAAGCTCAGAGCACAAAATCCACAGACAATGTTTCATGCAAATCACACGATTCCACTGCACAAAGACAATCCAGATGTGCCAAAATGTGTGTTTTTTTAATTTTTTATTGAAACAAGAAATGTTTGTTTGTTAGTTATAGGAGACTGGGACCATCCCATGGCCAAACTGAAAATACATCCATTTGATTTCTACATTTATCATGTTACAAGAATGATTGCAAAGAGGAGTTAGTGCAAAAGATATTTCGTCTAACGTTTTAACTTTTAAAGTCAGCAGGGGGGAAAAAAACCTATCATACAGACATTGGAGATGATCCTTCATGTGAGCACAGTGCCCTCTGCTGGCAGCAACATGCACAAACCAGTGAAGGACACTGGAGTGATTGTAAACAGATGATTGACAACCAAAATATGTAAAAAAAAAAAAAAAAAAAACAGTACTGCACCCATACAAAGTTAATTATTGATTGTTTATATAATAAACCACAGTGCAAAGGAAACTAGCTGGGGACAGAATTACACAGCAGCCCTGAGAGAAAGGCACAATATGATCTGTGTTAAAGCTTTGGCTTCTGAACATTCATGAAAAAAAGGCAACATTGTCTGTAAATACTAAGCACTGTACTGTATATCGAAAGGCCTACGTATTCCAGATTAAAAGCTTTGCAAAGCTGATGCTAAGTGAAGTTTGCATAGAATTGCATGCAATTAAATGTCTTCTTATTCAACATTGAGACTTAAAGATAAAGAAATGCCTTTTCTAGATATATATTTTTTTTACATTCAAGAAATTAATTTAATTATGACAAACAAGCAATAAATGATCATGTGTACTCGACATGAGAATAAGGCATGCATCATTGGTTAGAAGTTGTGTATTATCTTCACAACACTTAAGTATATGCTATAAACCAGAGCCCTTAAAGGGAGAGTTACGACAACAGAAGTTCAAAATGCTTGACTGTCACGTGATTCATGTAGACTTCAGATAGTTCCTGGAAGTTATTAGCGGGAAATTCAAATCCATTATTAAGAGTGACAGAACTGCGAATTTCGGTAATTTGTAGTCAATAACTGCATTGATTTACAATATTTATACAGCACACTGTAATATGTATATAATATAACATATAAAGATATATATATATTCCATAAATATTAACATTTTTTCAAATGTAAATTTGCTAATATTTAAAGATTAGTGAGTTGAGCAGAAATTAGTTGAGCCGTCATTTCTGTAAAAAAAACAAAAACATCCATTGCCGTGAATGGAGATGTTGCAACTCTCTTTCAAGGGCTCTGATATAAACATGTACAGTTGAAATGCTTGACATGAAGGTTAACTTTACCTCCAGAAAAGAGAAACACTACATGTGTGCAGTTA